ACTGCGGAGAGATGATGGAAAGTGGCTTGGTGAGCACCTCCGCCAGCTCCCTCAGTACCCTTGGGTGGATCCCTCCCAGCCCCATAGACTTGTGCATGTCTACGTGGTGTAGCAGGTCGCTGACCATTTCCCCTTGGATTATGGGGGCTTCATTCTGCTCCCCGTCCTTGTTTTCCAACTCACCCGAGAACAACTGGTCTGACTATTAAAGAGTGAGGCAAAGAAGGCATTAGGTACCTCAGCCTTTTCCTCATCTTTGTCACTATGTTTCAATTCAAAGTGTCTGGAATAGTGGGAGGGTTGTGTTATGGCCCACCAGCACGGTGATTAACAGCTTGAAACCGAGGGTATATGCGACAAGGCCTGCAGTATGGCAAGAGGTAATTGGAGTTGTTTGAAGGTGCAAAACCTGATGGGACAGTGTTGAAGAACAGTTTGAGCTAGAGAGACCTATAGCAACCTCTGAGAACAGCCTGTGGCATATGGCATCTCCAGCACTGTGCCAGAGTGCTGGTGCTGTGTAGCAGCACAGGAGTAACCAGACAGACCAAAACTAACAGACAAACAAAGAGTACCAGAGTGTACTCAGAAAAAGTAGGCCGGGCACCTTTTACTTGTGATGGACTAAACTGGCTTTTCAAATCCATTTTGAGGGCTCCTCATTAATACACAGGGTGGTGTTCACCAGCAACAACACCAAGAAGTTATACACCATGGGCAACATGATCTGAAGTTGCAAACTGTATCCTGGACTAAGGTCAGCTACAGATTACATGACTCCCAGGTAATGGAAATCACATTCAGCAGTCTGGTGTGAATCCATAAGAGGAACCCAACTAGGGCTACAAAAGCTATGATAACTTTCAGCTCGTTCCCATACCACAATGTTATCACAGACTCACAGCAAGTTTTAGTCTGGAAGGTACCTCTGGAGGCTTCTTCTCCAAGTCTCTGCTCACAGCTGGGTTAACTCCAAGACTAGATCAGGGTGCTCAGGATCTTGTCCAGGTGAGCTCTGAGCACCTCCAAGGGTGGAGATTCCCCAGCCTCTCTTGACACTTGTGCCACCCTGAACCACCTTTGCGGCAAGGGGAGAATTTCTTTTTAATGCATAGATAGAATTTCCCTTGTTAGGAAATTTCCTAACTACCTAATCTAGTCTTTGTCTTCAGATACAAATCTTGAAATGCAATTGGTTATATGCAATTCACAAGTAGCTACGTGTGTTTACCAATGACATTTCACATATGGATCTGTGGTAAACTTACCATATTAGGAATTTCCCTTGTTATAAGTTGTGACTGTTGTCTCTTGTCCTTTCACTGTTCTCTGGGAAGAGTTTGGCTATTTTGTCTCTCTGACGTCTCCTTTAGCTACAGAAGACAGCAATTAGGCCACTCCCCCTTTAGCCTTCTCCTCTCTTCTCTAGCCTCTCCTAATGAACTATGTATAATGTGTCCTGCAGTCTCTAAGACTATACTAATTCCAGGTACAGAGAAAGAAACAAGAACTGTAGACTGTGTTAGGGAAGGTTTTCTGGTTGTTATTTTTTTTTTTCATTGTTTTTTTACCATTAAGAGAGATACTCTGTTCTCCTGTACACTACCAATGGTTCCACCTGACTATGGTCTAATCCTTGGTTCTGAACCTCCTTTTTCTCAAGGTTTTTGGCAGACTTACAAGTTTTGCCTTGAAGCCTCAGGCTTCTGCTCAGGCTGTCTCCAAGTTGCTATATTGCCCACATACACACAGCTCTCAGCCTCTCTCTTGCTGGACCTGATTTTCTTCCAGGCAGATCCTTTTCTCAGGTTATCAACTGAAGAACCTCTAATTTGTAGCTGACAACTATGTTCCTTCCTTTATTTAATAGCAAACCAGAGTAAAGATCGTTATTACTGTCAATGCAAGACCGTGCTGCATTTGGCAGCTAACTCGTCCGTTTGAAGACTAACAGGAAAGTAGTGCATGGAAGAAATAAAGCCAACTTAGAAAAAACATCATGTTTCAAAAACTCCTTAAACTTCTGGGCGCAATAACCATGAAGAGAGGTTTGGGGTAGTGCATGGGGGGAAAGTGAAATGAAGGCACGACAAAGAATGGAGAACATTTTAAGACAAATGATTTATGAATACTTTTCCACTATTTTAGGAAGAAGTTACCATGTGCCTCTGGCACATGTGCTGGTTAAGGAAATTCTGTGAATCAGAAGACTAGTACAAATGTGAGGGGACAGAGATAAATTTCCACATTTCTTCCCACAGCAGGATCATAGAAAAGTGGGAAGGGACCACTGGAGGTGTGGTGTCTCCTCCAACTCCCTTCTCAGAGTTGTGCTAATTCCAAGGTGAGTCCTGAACATCTCCAAGGGTGGAGATTCCCCAGACCCTCTGGGCATCTCTGCCAGTGCTGAACCACCCTTGGGGGAGGGGAACATATTTTCCTTATACACCGTTAGAATTTCCCCTGTTGCAAGTTGTGTCCATTGCCTCTTGCACTGTGCCCCTCTGAAAAGAGTCTGACTCAATCTTTGCCAAAATCCCCCTTGAGATGGTTGATGACATCACTTAGACCATCCCCCTTTAGCGTTTTCTCCCTTAGGCTGAGCAACCCCAGCCTCCTCAGCCTCTCCTCATATACCATTACTCCAACCTCCAGCCATCTTACTGGCCCTTCGCGTCTCTCTTATATGGGGAGCCCAAAACTTTACACACTGATATTTCTGTTCTCCACACCACTGACGAAGTATTTGTGTAGTAGTTTCCTGTTCACATTATCACTTTCTGTCATACTTGCCATCATGTCCTGCCCTTAGATGTTGCTACTCCTTACATGAAGGTTTTTTTTTTTTAACTTCTGTTCTCTACTCAATCCTTATTGATTTTATGGCCAGACCTTGGTGCTCTCCAAGTTGAACAATGTCCATGGCCAGCAGGGACTGAATAATTAATAGTACATTAATAGGTGTCACTTTTCCTATGACCTTCCCTTTCTTTCGCTGCCACCAGTTACACGAGAAAAGAACGAACTCCTGTTGCTAGAACGGAGAGGTATCTGTGGAGAACCTGCCTGAGAGCAGGAGATCTCACAGCAAGAGGCTAAATGAGTTGTACATTAGATGTCACATATAGGAAGACACTTGCCTCCAAGAGGAGCCCCGAAGCAACATCCAACTCCAACTGCGCAAGCCGCCACCAGGAGGTCGAGCTGCCTATGCACATTCTGGAACAGAGAGTGCAGCCAGAGAAGGGCATGCTGGGGTTAGAGGGAGCAAAGCCAAGGGGTTAGGATCCAGAACAATGAAACAAAGCAACAGCCAGCAGCAGATTCAGCCATTGCTATTACAAATAGCAGGCTCTACACACTTTAGTGCAGTCTTTAGTACTGTCAGCTGGTCTTCAGCAGTGACATCTGGTCCTTATGCACAGACAGGATCTACTCAGGTAGAACAGCACCTCCCCTTGTTGTATTACACAGCCAGTTTCTGCTAGGAGCCTGTATGTAAAGCAGTTTCCTACGTTTAGCTAGATATGCAGTTAATAGATTTTTGTATACAACTAGTCAATACAGTGATCAGCCTGCAGAGGCTGTTCTGTGACAGCAAAAGCCTAGAGACAGTGTCAGTGTCTATAATTAGCAATGCTGTATAAATTCGTCTTCAAGACAAATTGATCTTTGTCTGCAGCTACTTTTTTATAGAGACAATGATCACAGTGCAAAGGTATCAGCATCATGAGATTGAAAACTTGTCAAATGCATATTCCTAAACACCCTCTGTGTAATTGGTAACATTGGTGGTCCTGCACAGTTATTTGACTGTATATTTGGCCTCCCACTACCGTTTTCTTTGGCTTGTATTTTAGTACTCTACAGCAGTATGGTGACTTCAGTCCATATGTTTCCCTTGTGTTTTGCGGCCTACCAGTACTATCCTATGTGTCTTACGAGTTCAACCTGTGGAAGAGCTGTATGCAGAGACATGTGCCTTACCTCATACACACCACAGAAGATTGACATGAACTTGCTGAGTACGGCAGCACAGATACTGGCAATATGCACAAAAGGACCCTGCAAGAGAAGAGGAGAAGAAAATCAGAGAGGGTTACCCTCTGGTTACTGACAACCATTTAGCCATTGCAGATTTCATAATTTCTCTTTGGCCATCTCAGCCAGTCCTCCAATCTTCTTTTTTTTTTTTTTTTCCCCCTCTTAAAGACTACCTGACTTTTTAGTTCTTTGATATTTTCTATATCAAGCCTTTCAAAGTAGAAGGAAAATGGCAAATGGAAGATAAGTGTTGCTGGGAAGAGCAGAGCTTTGAGAAGAGAAATGGTGGCAAAAGAAAGAAAACATTTATGGACTCTTCTTCCACAGACAACCCCTCTCACCTCCCAGACCCTGGCCACTACTGCACATGAACAGAGCAATATTTACCACAGCTGTGAGGCCCACAACTTTGGCCACAAAAGCTTTGAGAGTGAGATATTCCTTGAGGACCACTCCCCTCATAATGGTCTTGAGCTCTGGGATCCCAGACCCTGAAAACAGCAGCAGAGCAGGGGATGAACAAAACCCGCAGGCAAAAGGAATAAGAAAAAGAGACAGACAGAAACAGATCTTGCCATGCCTTCCGCCCTCACCAACAGCCTGTGGAGAGACGAGGTGGCAGAAAATGGCCGCAAACAGAATAAGAACAAGTGGGTATGTGACCCACGCCAGATACTGCATAGGAACATTCGGGTGCAGCTCTCTGTACATCCACTTGTAGGCTGTAGACAGACAAACAAAAGAAGTTGTCAGTAACCACAGCTGCTCCAAACAGGTTGGTAGACATCAAAGAATCACATGCTTGCTAAACCTGCCCATACTAAACCTCCCTGAGAAATGCTATCCTAAAGTCCTCATTTTCCAAGACAAGCCTTGTTACATTTTGAGTATGAGTTCTCAAATAAAACAGGCATTCTGCAGGAATGGATAGAAGTGGCTCTCTGTTCTTAGACACGATTAATACCTGTGCCCAAATGTGGTATAAGAAGAGGTGTGTTACATGCAGTTGTGAGGACGAATTACTGTACAGGGTCTTTTCATTTGACAGCCTGAGGGCTTTATGTGGGGCCTGAAGGACAATAAAGTGGTCCACCAACAGCTAGTGCCCTCTCCTCCATCTCAATCACATGAAAAATTGTTCCTTCTTAAAAAAACTAGCTTAAAAGCTCTGCTTATGATTTGCCTTTTAGAGCAGCAGCATAAAGGGAACTGTGCCAACTGTTAGAAGAGCAGTGGTACCATTGCTCAGCCAGGTACAACAGCACAAGCTGCCGAGAATCCAAACTGAACAGCAGCTCCTGTGCAGTTCATTTTCTTTGCCTGAGCTGGCTCCCCACACAGCAAGAGGCTGAGACTTGGTGGAGGGAAAGAAAAAAACCCCAAAGAACTCAGCTGCAGGGAGTATGAAGGACAGGGCCCCTCTGAGACTGGGAGGGTAAGCCAGACGCCTGGTAGATGGGGAAGCTCTAGAGGGAGGAACACTGGGCTGAAGGAATATTGGGAGCTTTGAGGAACTGCGGTGTCTGGTGGACGGCAGCAGCCAAGAGCACCGAGAGGAAAGGATTGGTGTGCGTGTGCAGGTCAGGATCGGGGCACTGAGGGTAAGGACAAAGGAATAGTGCAGTTAACGGGATGTGGGCAATGTTGTGTGTGCGTGTGTGCACCGAGATGGGGGCAGGGGGACTGAAAGATCTTGTAATTGTTATAGCTGGCAAAGGGGAGAGGGACGACAGGAAAAATGCAGGGAAGATGTCCCTGCTCATTGCAGGGGGGTTGGACTAGATGACCTTTAAAGGTCTCTTCCAATCCAGACTATTCTATGATTCTATGATATTAGACAGTGATTAGGAGATCTTTGTGAAAAGAGCCAAAGGAGAGAGCACTATGTGGGCATGTAGCAGGCAACTGCAGGGCACTGTATAAAAAAAATTGGAAAGAACAATAATGAGGCAGTAACAGTGTCAGCAGAGCATCTAAGAGCCCCTTCCCCTCCCCACCCCCCATGCGCTCAATAGACCTGGGGAGGATGGCAACCAGTATAATAGGAAGGACCACAGTACCACTTCTTTTTGCCCCTACATATTCAAGGGAGCAGGAGGGAAAGGGAGTCAAAATAATGCTTTGTCTTTGGCTCATACACATATCCTCTGTTTCTGCCTGCTTACTTCCAAATTTTTCCCTGCCATCTCTTTAAAACCCTCTCCCTATTTAACCTGTTCTCTACTATGTTGCAAGTACTTCAAACTTCCCAGGCAGCGAGGGATGAGGATGGGACACTGATGTTAAAGGAGGAGGAACATTGGTCACTGGGCTTTGTAAAACGTTCATACAATTTAAGGTGTGCTTTTGCAACACCTGAATGGGACCCACCCTGTAGGCTCTTCGCACTGGCATAATCCATTCCCCAGCTCACCAACGCCATGACCAGACCCAACAGAACCAAGAAAATCCAGTCCTCTCCAAGCTTCTTGGTAACGTATTTCTGGATGCGTCTAGCACAGTCTGTGGAGGGAAGAGTGAACCAGAAAAACTGAGGGAACGTAGATGAAGCCTGTGTCTGCCTCTCCTCTCCTATGCTGAGAACTGACTACAATAAGGATTTATTTAGAAACATCATGGGCTTAGTGTTGAAGGAATGGTACCTATGCCTCTCCTACACAGTCCTGCAAAATCTGATGCAGTTTCAAAAAAAAAAGGGGGGGGGGGGGGAATTTAACATCTCATGCACTAACAGCAAAACTCTGACACGAGAAAGTCCTTTTCCTCCCGTTCCACAGAGCTGTTATGGAAAAAAGCATTAACTTGGGACTGGTCTTTTTCCCAAACAGATCTTGGCTCTTTCTATGATGAAAGTTGGCATTAAAAAGTCTTTTGGATCCACTGTGACTCCCTTTTCCTTCCTTCTCTGCTTCTCCCCAGTCACAATTTTCTTGCTTAAATTCTGTCTCTCTGGCTGGCCTACGCAATATCTGGTCATAGGGTCATGAAAGATGAATTGTCCCTACCTTGACATTTGGAATAGTGCTCTTCTTTGATCTCTACTTGACTCTCACGTTTCAGGGGTCTTTCATTGTTCTTTTGGGCCTGCTTCTTATTCAGTAGTTTTGCTGCTTCCTTCTCTGCAAAGTCGGTTATCTGGTCTGTGTATTGGCCATAAAGCTAGAGGAGCAGAAAGCAAGAGGAAAAGGTAAGGCAAATGCCTCTTCACAAATAGCATTAAAGATGAAAAGGCAGATCTACTAACAGTCAGAGGTGCAGACCCGAATGTACCGAAGCAGGGAGACAGAGACACAGAAACTCTCAGACAGATGCAGCTCATTTTTTGTACGTTTTCCTTTCTGGTTCCCTCTTCCCAACCTCTGAAAAATCTTTTCATCTCCTTTTTGAGGGTACAAGATATGATCACAGAATATTAATTGATTTCTAATATCCTGAGAAAGAGCCGGCTCTGGTCTGAGGAGAGTGAGCAGGCTTTCTGGAAGTACAAAAGAAGGTCAAAATAGTTCACACGAGGCTGCCACTCTCAGGGCTGTCTCATAGACTTCAGCAGCACTGTGAAACATCTCTGAAGGTTTTGAGAGGTATTACACTATCAAACAGGCTGCAGGAATGTCCTGCATCTGTTCCTCCTGCTGCCAAGGAAAGCTCAACAGGGCACACAGCCACTGATGGTGCCTGCGGAGGAAAAGAAGCAGCATCAGCTAAGATATATCCCAGGGTACTCCACACCTCCTCGCATTATTTACCCAAATCATCATGCTAAGTACTCCCATGTCTCCAACTGCTCTGAATTTCTTAACTACCTAATCTAGTCTTTGTCTTCAGATACAAATCTTGAAATGCAATTGGTTATATGCAATTCCCAAGTAGCTACATGCGTTTACCAACGACATTTCACACATGGATCTGTAGTTAACTTGACAGTTGTGCCATCTTGTCAACGAGATCTCAAGGGAACTTGAAGGATCCTGACTGTGCCCCCTTGGTTTTTTATTGGACTCCCTCAAGAGCAGCTATCCTATCTCGCTCTTTCAGAGTACAGGTGGGGAAGTGTGCATTCGAGAAGCAAAGAATAAGCCTCTCCTCATCACATGCCCTTCAATTAACCAGCTTTGACTTTACTTGAGGTCAGGTTGCCACCTGATGCATGGCCTGTGATCTTGGCACTTCCCACCTGCCAGAATGTAACCCTTTGAGTCCTTCCCAGCCCAACATCTGCTTCTCTAAGATTTTCTGAGTGACATGAGGAGAGTGAGCAATGCTTCGATCAGCAAAATCAGATACTTCAGCTGGAGAATGACAAGACATGAGAGATATAAAGCACTACCTTAGCTTAGGTAGCTAAGGAGGTAAAGCTTAAGAGACATTTCTATTTGACAGCTTTGTGTCTCCTCCTTCCGCAGTGGCACAGGAGATGTTGCTTCTGTTCCCTGAGGATCTCCATGAACTGAAACATCACCTGTACAACGGGGATAATGCAGCTGACCTGTTTTTAAGAGAATTTGAGATCAAACAGATTCAGAGACTCACAGAAAGATTTACACTGGAAGGCACCTTTGGAGGTTTCTAGTCCAAGCCTCTGCTTACAGCATGGAAACTCCAAAGCCAGACCAGGCTGCTCAAGACCTTGTCCAGGCAACTCCTAAACATCTCCAAGGGTGGAAATTCCCAGCTTCTCTGAGCATCTGTTTCAGTGCTCTGCCAATTCATATTTCCACATAACAAATATGACTGAAGGTCCTAAGTAGTTTATTTATTTGCATATGTTCCTCAAGAGACACTTGAACCATATGCAACAGCTCCCTTAGAAATCCCTAGTGCTTTTTTCACAGAACACACATCTAGGCTTTTTAAAATCATCCTGTTCTTAAGGTGGCTTACCTGCTGTCTCTTAAACAAATTGATCCTATCTGAACATCTGAAAGTATTCTTCCATTCATCACTGTATTGGAAGCTGACAAACTTATATGTAATTATTAACCGATTATCAACACACTCTAGGCAAATTAAGCAATGCAGACTCTTTTCAGTGAGGAATGGCCGTGCTCTGACCCCCATAATACAGGGAGGACAGTGAAACGTCAGGCTGAAGGACTTGACAGACTTCATATACAAGGTAAGCTGCCACATACAGAATCCAGTCCTAAATAGCAGACTGCTCCTTTTTTCTCTAACTGTGTCTATTTCAGACAGAAAGGCCAAGTACTAGCAGATTTTAGACAAATGCATCTTCGCATCACCTCAGCTAATGTTTCATTGCCTTTACATGGTCATGAGGGATGGGTTTATATCAAATACAGCTTAATCCAAACTACGAACTCAAACCTGTGCCAGGTATGATGTTCACATTAGAATCTTCCATCTGCCCAGATGGAACAGCATGACAGTATACTAGTATGAATGGTAAAAGTCCTCATACGGTATCCTAGTTCACTGCTTCTATCTAGGTGGAAAATAGGGCACTCAGGATGTGGAAAAAAAGGAGTTAGTCTCTGGACATAAAATTAAGGTTCTGTCCTGGAGAACAAGTTAGTCTCAACTCACTTAAAGAATGCTTCATGCACGTGCTTTGCTTCTCCAGGACTCTGGCACTACTTAAAATGGTAGGAGATTGTGGGACAGAGAAAGAATCCAGAAATCAGACAATGACCTTAGAACAAAATTAGGTTAGGCAAGAAATATCCACTCCATTAGAAGACATATAAAACTAAAAATATAACACAGTAGGAGTTAGACTGTTCTTTCTTCTGATGCTCCCTCTCTAACACAAGGAACACAGGGTTTCTGAGCACCAGAAAAACCAAAGGGAATTTTAAATGATGCCAATTACCACCTAAAGGGTTGAGCCAGAAAAGGTACTATCATGCCTAGCTTGGCTAAATGCTGAGTGAGAACATGATAATGATGCAAAACCAGCTGAAGGTATAAATACCGCTAAAGGGAGGGAAGAAAAAAACCCAAAAAACATCCAGGGAGAAAGCACAACCAGGGTAAAGTTCATTTTCGGGGAGGGAGCTTTTATTAACGTTTAACTGTAAACCAGCAGGGTTTGTTTTTCCAAAAAAGATGGGGAAGTTTCATTGCTTCAGTAACGGAGGAAAAGCTGCACAGAATTTCAGGGGAAAATATGTACAGCGCCACAATCTCAGGACTCTTCTGGGAGCTATTTTCTGAGAGCTCAGCACCTGCGCAGAACTGCCCTCTGCTCACAGTCCAAAGCCTAAGCTATTTCCCATGCCATTCGGACTGAACAATATGTTCTCCACAGCATACTCCAGTCCTGAAATCTCTTCCTCCAGCACTGCCAGCGCATACTGGTTTTAAGCTGCTGCTCCCGGCCTTTGAGGCAGCCTTGGGCTCTACTGCCCATCCCTTTTACTCCCGCCTTGTAGCCATGCTGTTCTTCCTGAAATATCTTCCTTAGGTTTTTTTTTCTGATGGATCACAAAAGAGTAGCCGTATTTGGTCTCAAAGGTGAAACCTCCCAAAACTCACTTCATAAGTAAATTTCAATGTCAGTAAAAAGTCTAGGCTCAACTGCTTAGACATAGAGTCAATGAGGCACATGTGAGGGGCAGGGGACAGCAACAAAATAATAGTTCTTCCTGAAGAACAGAAGGCAAAGGGGAGATCCAACAGCAGTCCCACCACCTGAAGGCAGAGGGGGGTTGGAGAAAAACATCAGAGGGAGACTTTTTGGAGGGACACAGTGAAGGATGAAAGGAAAAAGGGGTAACCTGCAAGAAAGGAAAGTCTGTGAAAAAAGAAAACATGTCGCCATCATGCCCCAGGGTGGTTCAGCACAGGAACAGCTGCCCAGAGGGGCTGGGGAATCTTCAGTCTTGGAGATGTTCAGAACATGCTTGGACAAGGCCCTGGACAACCTGACCCAGCTTTGGAGTCAGCTCTGCTGTGAGCAGGGGCTTGGGCTAGAGACCTCCAGAGGTCCCCTCCCACCAACATCTTTCTGAGTCTGTTATTCTATATTACTGCATTGCTAATTACTCATTACACATCCCTCCCACTACACCCATCTGTCTACTGCTGAGGGAGCTCTCTGCCATGAACACCCTTTCTACAGTCACGAATAACACAGCTTCTAAATACCTCACCAGCTGGAGCTGCTTTCTCATGCAGAAAGAAAACAATACAAAATCCTACAATGTATGAGAATGTATACTTTAATCAATGTATTTTATTACATCATCTGTCATCTATCTACTCTCTGTTAGTTGTTCAGAATTATGTATATATTACTATTGTTATTCTGCTACTACTATTATTATCTATTAATTACTATATGTTTTTTAACTATCAATTATCTAAAGGTCCCAGGCCAAATACTGAGATTCCACTGCTCTGGAGCCTATGTAAACCCAATCAAATGACAAAGCCAGTCTGAAATGGCTTCCAACCTACATATAAAACAGAAGGCAACAGGCAGCAAAAGAAAAGGGCACAACAGAATCAAAATCTCTCTCTGCCAACGACTTTTTCACATGACAGTGGGGAAAGAAATCTTAATGGAAATCTGCATGGACATGGATGAAAACATGTGCAGCAGGTTGTTTTTCATGCTAATAGCATGTGTGCATCTGTGTACGAGATGTGTACATTAACACGCATATTTATATTTAGCTGCGTATGCATGAATGGCTAGCAAAATATACATATGCACAGCAAGCCTGGTTTTGCCAGAATATGTCCGCATACAAAGTTTCATACATAAACATACATGCATCCATGTGTATTTGATTGTTTATGTAAAAGTATTTCTAGGGCATATTTTTCAGTAAATCTTTAAACATGGCTGTCTGTTTTTAGGACTGCAAATTGTGTTCACAAATGCATGCTTGCTTGGGGACTTCACTGCCTGAAGGTATGCATGGGAAGGCATTTGATGGCCTGCTTGTCTGTGCGTGAGGTTGTCTGTCTGCAAGCACTGACCAGCAGGATCTCTGGATCTGGGAAGAAAGACATTCCAGTGCCAGGTAGCAAGAGCACGGAGGTAGGTTGTATTGCCTCACTGTGTCATCTGCGCCTGCTTGCGAGAGTGGTTTTAGCTGTGTGTGGAACAGCGTATCGGGTGGGTACATGTGAACTGGGATGTTTTTGTGCATGGATGTGCTTTACTGGAGGAACGATTTGCAGCCCACAGCCCCCAACTCACTAATGGTTCATGTAGCACAAGGTGCCTTTCCTTAGCCCACCTCAGCTCTCCAGCCCTAGGCCTTGCTCCACTCGCACCCCACAGGGCAGGCGTGTGCCATCCTCCCAGCGAAGCGGTGACACTCACCCGGGGCCAGCCAGGGACTTGGGCATGGCTGATGGGGGTGGCCGCTCGGCAGCAAGCGGCGATTCGAAGGCTGAATCCCAGCGGAGCTCAGCTCCAGCTGGCTGCATGCACCTCTCCATCCCGTCCCACCACGGGCTCACCCTGTTAGCGTGGCTGTTGCAGCCGAACCATTGCCTTACATTAGTGTAAATAAAGCATAAACTGCTCCAGTCAGACCTCTGTCCAGACACCTTCCCGTTTGGGCTGTTGCTTCCAAATCAGCCAGGGAGTGGTTTTGGAAGAGTTTAGTGCAGGAGACATTTGCAAACTCTCATATGTTTTAGGCAGTTTTGGAAGAGAAATTCCTGAATATGGCCATGGAACTGATTCTCTAATCTTTTGCAGTGTGGCACATATAATCCTCACTGGGATGCTTATCTACTGGAAGAGATTTTCTTGGTGGCAAATGTGGCTTTTTCCCTATCAGTAAATCACAAAAGTCTTCAGGAGATGATGAGTGCATCCCCTCCCTCATCCCCCGATCATTCACCAAAGTATTCATGTAAGGGGATTTGTATTCATGTAAGGAGAACCGTCCGCTCTGTATGAATTTCATATTCACACGCTCACTCCCTCATCATTTGACTGGATCCTTTGTTGCTTTAAAGCCCTCTTATGTCGGCTTAGTCTGAGCAGAGTGGTAGGAAATAAGACACCAGGACTCCGCTGCAAAACCTCCCCTCTGCAGGAGGCTGTCCCAAAAGGAGAGGTAGAGGAGATACAGAGGGTAATGGAACAAGAAGCCATAACCAGAGTACATATGTGTCCCAGATATCTTTCTGCACCGCTGCTTGTACGAACCAGAGCAAGAGTCAGGTCAGTTTAAGGGTTAGAAAATCCCTCACTTACAACTCCCCTAAGAGCTACCAAAACCACCAGTATCCATGTATGGGTCTATGACCATGAATTGCTTTTTGGTCAGAGAAGTCAGAACAGAGCTCCGCATGACTTTGTCTATACTGTGCAGATAGATACCCATCTATATATATCACTGGTCTCTTTGTTTTTATTCACTCTTCTGTTCTACTTAATATCACTATGCAGCTGAAGGCATCTGCAGTTTCTCTTCACTGTCACACATACATTAATGGCTTCATTGATTTTCCCCATCCCAGCTTGCCCATTCTAACTCTCTTTGTGTCCATGGCAGGCGAAAATGACCTCTGACTCAAAATGCTTATAGCGCTCCTGGATATAAGTACCACCATGAAAGTGAATGCCTGACCTGGGAGTCAACAAGGGAAGGGGAGAGTTGGTAGGGTTGGGAATGGAGAGGGATGTGTGCTCTACAGCACCATTCTGGGGGCCCCAAGAGCCTATGTGATCCCAGGGAGACCTGTGCTGCCACAAATGTCCCAGTTGTCCAGCCCTACCTGTGGGTAGCTGAGGGAGTTCTCCAGGTAGTGCAGGTCGTCCCCTGTCCCCCCGGCCTCGCGTCCTGCCTCCAAAGGTATCCCGTAACGGGTGCATTTCTCAAAGCAGACATAGTTGTATTGCGGTGTGCCCCCCCACAAAGCTGACTTCGAGCTGGGTTCCTGCGTCATGGTCTCTGAGCTCTCCGTGCCTCTACTCTTCCTCACGCTCAGTTGTAACGGAGCTGCCGCTCTGGGCCTTACCTAGAACCACCTCATGTTCTGGCCGAGAGCATGGCCTCCACACTTTCTTCTGCTCCCTCCTTCTTTTCTTTCTCTCCTCAGACCACCCTGACTTGTCCTGTTCCTGCACTCACTTTCTCTCTGTCCCTCCTCCTCCTCCTCCTTGTGTCTCTCTCACTTTCTCCCCTTCCTGCGCAAAGGCAGTGATTGCAGGGTTTAACTATATTTATAGCAACCTTCCTCTGCCACATGATTCCCCAGTGCCGTGTCTGATCTCAGCAAAAGGCACTAACTCGGCTGGGATTGAATATCAGGTGTGAGCAAGAGGGGAACTCCTGAAGGAGAGGGAAGGGGGAGGTGGGGGAGGAGGAAAGAAGACGATAAGACAGACAGAGCTAGACGTACAGAGACAGAAAGCAGACAGGAGGAAGCAGAAATGGTTATCCAGGAGATCTCTTCTTTTACACCTCTCCATCCTGACCAAGCTATGTTTGCAATGAGAGCAAAACTCAGTGGGCTTCCTCCTTCTCTCTCCAGATACCAGGTGTCCAAAAGACTGAGTGACAGTCATAAAGATGCCAGCAACTATGCGGAGACAGAACAAGATGGGTGCACACTCACTGCTCACTGTCCCAAGACAGTTTTCCTAAGTCCATGGTCCAGAACAGAAGCAGCAAGCCCTAAGGGAGAAATCAGGCATCCCTGTAAACTGCTGTGCATTACAGCTTAATCTCAGCTTTTCCATGTGCCCTTATGGGGAACACTTTAGACTTTTGAAGAATGTCACCAAACTTCTCTGTGGGTATTCAGTTATGGCTATATGCAGAAATTTATTCTTGCTGCTCACTTTTCCACAGGCTAGAGCATTCAACAGCTTTTCCTCTCCACTCTACCACTTGTTTCTCAGCCAGGCAAAAAAGCAATGAGCTCAGCCAACGGCAGTGAGCTACCAGCCCGTGACAGGAATGAGAAGCATGTTCCAGCAGCATGGTCTTAGAGACACCTCCCAGTGCTGTCAGTGTGCTGCCTGTAACCATATGTCTTTTGATGGCTATTAATCAATGAAAAGCAGTGAGTTCAAGTTCCTAGACATTGTGTACAAGAAGACCCCACATGCCTCGAACATAGTCACTAAAGAGCTGCTATTAACTCCTTCCTCCTCTTGCGTACTATCACCTCTCCAGAATAATGCTTTCCAAGCTTCTCACACTGCAGGATAAGAGATATGCAGGTAGGATGGCGGTGGGGGGAGAGAGAGGCAAAACACCCTTCTTTTTGGTCCAGAACAGTAGTCTCATTATTTCATTTTGCAGACCCCTGTAATACATTTCTCCTGGAGGCTCATTTTGCTTTTCCTCAGTCTGCATGATCCTCCAGAGCAGGGTACAGAGAAAATCTCCAAGAGGAAGACACACTTGATTTCCTCCATAAACCACCTCCGCACCTCCTCCAGTGTTTCTGCTAACAAAATCCATATCGATATCCATTAGCAATGATATCCATATGGATATTGTTAGTCTGTACAGTCGACACCTGGCGGCATGCCAGGCAAGCTCTAAATATTTAAAAAAGCAAGATCAGTGCTGCCTCAAAACATATAGGCTCATCTGTTTCATTCTCACCAGCACTATTGACTTACTGTCAATAAGTAATGTCCCCTGGAGGAAGACTGTGGCCCATCAGCAGGGCAAAACTTGTAATGAACCACCTTAAAGAAGCATTTTTAAGTGACCATGTCATACATGAGAAGTGACCATACAGAGAAGAACAATTGGATAGCCTCATAGATTTCCATCTTAAAGGCATTAATTGCTCCCAACCTACTGAGATGCTTTTCAAAGACCAACGTCGCTGCAGCTTACATAAAAAATGGTGCATAGCATATACTGTATAGTGTATAAAATATATTAAAAAGTATTTAAAGTATAAGCGTACATCATATACAGAAAACCTAAAGACCAACCACAGTAAGCCCTAACAAACCTCAAAGTTGTAATACAGCACCAGACCTTCAGTTACTATTACATTTACTGGAGGAGAACATTCATCACAGCCACCGGAGAAAACTAATGGGAACCTTTACCCAAAGGTGCACTCTTCCAGGTCTTGTTTTTCAGGAGGCACAAGAATAACACATCAGAAATTGCTTCAGAATAAAAAGGAACCCCCTACTGCCAGCTAATCAAACTCTTCTCTCTGTCTTGTATGATACTGTTGTGAAATTTCCATGGAAACCCATTATATAATTATAGCCTAAAATAAGATGATCCTACCCTGAAAGGTATTTTCCAAGAACTGTCCCTCTCAGCCTCCAAAGTGGCCCCAGCCTCACTCACCTCATCAATCAAAGCATGAAGTATCCCAAGACCAACATTCACCAAATGGCTCTAGATGCTACTCGAACAAGAAACCTTCACTATCCTCATGAGGAAGACAACTCACAAAACCCCTGCACCCTCACTCTTACTTTCCACAATGTAATAACACCTCATCCAGTGCCCCAAATGATAGACTAATAACTATACAGATGGAACTGAACAACCATTATGCACACAGTGGCACACGTGTACACCCTAAGGACCTAGCTCCAAGGACATCTGCAGCTAAGGCCCTAGCATTTATCTAATTCCCAGTGGGAGAGCACTTCTCATCAAACAATCTCTCTACCTCTGATCTCTGTACCCAGATACTGTCTACCGAGGAAAAGACTGAGAACTGAAATTCACCATTCCAGCGCATGACAAAATATATGCCATCTGTAGAGATACTGGGTTTGCGTCACATTATTTCCTGTGTCCTCAACACTAATCTTATCATGCTCCACAGCTTATAAATCACCCCTCTCCCTCTTTCCCCTAGGAGGAAAGCACTTTGTCAGCTCTCTGGACACTATTAACATCCTCTCTAGTCCACGAGGTACCAATAATCTTTTGTCACAGCCTCACTGACACTAGTCTAGTCTAGTTAAATTCAAAGCAGCTACCCTCAACTTGTATTTGCTTTGAGAACTGCTGCTTCTATTTCAGACTCAAAGAACTCGTAGACCCAATAGCTTGTCCACTTTTTCCAGCTGGCACAGCTGACATAATGAAAGGTATTGTTCCAGCTCTACCCACTGTCTTGTCCATGTTTTCAGATCAGCTGAGTCCCAAAAGTACAGACTACTGAGCACACCCTGAAAAGATCTGCCTTTCTGCACTGCTGCTGCCCAGCAATTGCTGTCTAATCTCCCCTATCACTTTTCCTGGAATTTCTTGCCATAATTCTTCTTTCCATATTTTCTTTACTGCTCATCTGTCCTGCTTTCTACTACCAAGGCCTAGCTCTGCCATTCTACCAAGACACAGCAATGTAGTACTGCTGTAGCTTGAAAGGTTACCAACAGACTCAGGAGACTGGCACAGAAGTGGAGGAAGATGTCAAAAAAGAGGAAGATGTAATAACCATCTTGCACTAGACACAAACACAGATGACCTGTACGTATGGCTTGACTCCTCAGGTGCACCTAAGCCTTTTGAAAGGGCTCATGAAAGTTTCTAGACTGCCCCACAGCACACAATAGGAAAGCCATACAACCTGCTCATATGCCAGTTTTTTCTGTGCATATTACAGGCCCCAGAGGGACTCCAAAGTGTGTTTCTGTGGTATTTCCTTCAAGCAGGACATCCTCATGACAGATGAAACTACAGCGACAGCCCAAATTAGGGTCTTAGGTGAGGAAAAAGAAAGGAATAGAAGTTAGAAGAACTCTCACCCAAGATGGGTGTCTTCTCCAGTCAGCCATCTGTCTTTCTCCCTCCTCTTCCCAGTTTTCTCTCAGGTCTCCCTTTCTCTGCCTTTATTTTTTTGTCCTGAATGCTTTTCAGGATGCAGAATATAATTCCTAGCCTTCCCATCCTACTGCCTTTATAGTGGAAGCTCAGATAGTATGGGGGGAAGGATGATTGAAGACTCACACTTCTCTCATCGTCCTGTCCCAGGAGATTTATCACCTGAAATCACAGTGCTATTAATCAACAGTGACAAGCTTAATGTTGTTCCCTGTGCCCTGCCCACACAATTATCAGACATCATACTGACTTCTGAGCCTTCTGCTTATACTAGAGGCTTTTTTTGTTTGTTTGTTTCTCTAGCAGATTCACCCTAAAAGATCTAGACCACTTCATGACTTCACTGTATACAAACCTTATGGCCCACTACCAGACTGCAGCCTCTTCTGGAATGAAACGTAAAGTCTATTTTTCAGCTGCCACAAATACTGCATACACAGACATTATAGCAGATGGTGATGCAGAGCCCTCTACCACCCCAGACTGAGAGGAGTGGAATTTGTGGAGGCAGAGTTATTGTTACGCAGAACCATGCATACAGAACAGAAAAGCAGTCATTCAAGAATAAAGAAAAAATAATATTCCGTGCTTATAAGAACTCAGTCCAAGAGGTCCACAAGGCTGTGAAGGAGGTAATACAAAAGACAGGCTATGAGACAAAAGAAACTGTAAAGGTGAAAGGGAAAAAGGGACTTTTGAAGGAGGAAGATGAGAAAGGTGACAAAAGGACTGCTTAACAGTAACAGAGGCTCTAAAAGATAAACACAGAGGCAATAAGAGACAAAGAACGCACAGAAGGACATTAGGGGATGAGATACAGGACAGTAAGAAGTCACAGCAAGTGTACCTTGCCTCAAACAATAGCTTCAGATGGAGCAAAAAAGAGTGAAAAGGCAGGAAAAAGACTTCAGTAGACAAAAGATAAGGCAACGTCTTGTAGATGAGAACAAGGTGCTTGAATGGAACATTTTATTAGACAAGATACCCATGGAGGTTTCAAAGAGCTACAGGAGGCAATTGGAGCTTTGGAAGAGAAAGAATGCTGTGAAAAGGGTTAGGAAGAGGGAGGGAGACTGGGAGAAACAGCTTTTCTAGTGAAAGAAAGAAATAGACCACAGACTAAGGCTTGAACAGTAGGAAAAGACAGAAATGTAAGCTGTGCAGGAGTACATTGCAAACAAGGCTGAATATGGAGAGATGATGACAGAGAACTCTCAGAGAACACTTGAAAGAAGGGTTGAGTTCACAGTAAAAAGTAGAAATAAAAAGTCCAGAAAGTTTAAGGGCTTTCATCATAGAGAAATAGCAAGATAATATGATGATATTCAAGTGGACAGGTACCGACTAATACTAGACCGAATAGAGCAGAATTGCCAGAAACAGCGCAGATTTTGAGAATCATCAGCTTTTGATAACTCAAGTAGGGAGATGATGATGTTACCAGAGGAGAAGCAGAATGGAAAAAAAAATAGATCTCAGAATTGAAAGCAAATAAATACTTATAGGAACACAGGGACATGGAGGAGCCATTGAAGTAGATGTTAGAACAGATTAACTTGGAAGGATACTTGAAGAGATCACGATATGACATGATGACATTGTGGTATGACATGATATGACATTATGATATGCCATGACTTGGCAAAACCCAAATGAGCTTTAAAGGGGCAGGGTTATGTCCCAGTTCCAGAAACAACCCAGCTGTGACAGTCTGCACAGAGCACCCTGTGAATTCACCCTAAAATCAAATGAAACAAAGCCATATCTATGTTGATGTTGGTACCTAAGGTAAATTACTTGTTAATTTGATGTTGTCTTATGTTAGATCGCAGTGTGGTCACAGTTTGGAACCGAGAGCAAAAAGAATAAGCAGAGAGAATTTAAACAAACCCAGCAGCAAGAGCGAGACACAGAAAATCAGATGAAAGAGAAGATAGCAAACTAGGTTTTATAAATGGATCCCAGCTCATCCAGAACTTTAAGGTGGATCTGACTAGATGTCCTGGTGAGCTTTCCAGTCAAGACCAGCAGGCTTCAAAACTCAAAATAGAACAGTCTTTACTAGAATAAAAATAAGATTATTTGATTTTTTTTTTTAAATAGATAAAACTTCAAGCGTATAAGTCAGGAAGCACAGAAATAAATACATAGTTTATGCACAACTCTCCCCCACCCACTGCGACCTCGGTTGCAATTAACTCGGTGACCTTCTAAGCTGCTAAAATTTTGTGCTTACACTCCATTGCCTAGGAGATTGTTTCCGCACCTCCACAGCTTGGATGGCTCCTCCCCTACAGCTGCCCCTCTTCTTAAATTGCAGCCCTCGATTCCCTCAGTGACTTTCTATCCCACAGCACCCTGTAGCCTCTATTAAATCATTTCTTCCTTGCATATGCTCAATGGCTTTCCAAAGGAAGAGGTGTCTTACTGGTGGGGCAGAGATCTGATTGTCTTGTCTTAAAATAAACAGAGAACAAATCAAATAGGCACAGTGTGTATACAAGTATCAAAAAGTTAAAGTGAAAAAAAGGCGGATAAAAAATAAAATTAGACTGCTGAGAGGCAGAAAACTTTTTATAACTGTGTTATGCATCCAAAAGCAGCTAAAGACAGTAAGAACTAGCAAACACTCAATGAACTGGTTG